TCTCTCTCTCTCTCTCTCTCTCTCTCTCTCTCTTTCTCTCTCTCTCTCTCTCTCTCTTTCTCTCTCTCTCTCTCATACTCTGTCTCTCCCTATTTCTCTCTTACTCTCTCTCTCGCTTACTCTCTCTCTCTCTCTCTCTCTTACTCTCTCTCATCCTCCTCTTTTCCCTCTCCTTCTCCCTCTCCCCGCATACTCACTCGACAGGCGCAGGTCCCTGAAGCGCGGCAGCAGCGTAACATTGAACGCACTCTCGGACACGGACGTGATCATGTTCTCGTCAAACCGGACCGTCTCCAGTTCGGGCGTCTGGTCGAACGCGCCCGGACACACGTGCGTGATCCGGTTCTCGGACAGCCGGATGTTTGCGACGCGGCTCAGGCCTGCAGGGGGCGACACCGGGCACGATTATTACGAGGAAACAACATGGCGGCTACGAGCGCCAGACAAGGACAAGGGCCAAGGTCACGTCGTTGGGGTTTAGGCCTAGTGTAAGTGTTGAAATTACGTTAGTAGTGGCACGTGCATAGTAGTGTAATAGTATAATTAGATAATAATACATAGTAGTATAATATAATAAATAGTATGTGAAAATATAGTATGGTATATAACTATAATGAAAAAAAAATGTAGGGGCCTATGCTCTCTCTATACATCATAATTATGTGAACGTTGCACGGCAAATGTATCACATACGTGAACGTTGCATGAAACCTGCATTACATATGTATGTAAACATTGCAAGACATATTCATTACATAGACATGTGTGTATAGACATCATGTAAACATCACGCTATGTATCAACTACATATGTCAAGGTTGGCAGACATCTACAATATATATGTGCATGATAGCTTGACGTTCCTACATCAACGTTGGCCGCCACTACGATATATATTACGTATATATATATATTATATATATATATTATATATATATATATATATATATATACGAATATATTATTATAGATAATTGTAATGTTCTAATATTGCCTCAAATGCAGCAGCGAACATAGATTCGGTTAGAATTTCCTACGCTTCCAAACCTTCTGTAGGCCTGTTACACTATACTACACTGGTGGGTCAAGTATCCAAAGTTGAAAATATCGTAACGTTTTGTCATGAATCAGAAAAATCATGACTTTTAGATGTTTTTGACAACCCCCCCCCCCCTCTGGTACATTTAATGCCAAAATCGTTTTATCCTAAAATGTTGACGAGAAAAACTTTACGACTTTATAATTATTCTAACAGTACCCTTGGTACATTGACATACGGGTGCCAATTATGGTGATTAACTTCTATATATCTGTCTGCCGTATAGAATATATCTATACTAGATATGTTGCCATCAACTAGCATAGCACGTTGACACTCTTTGACCAACCACAGTCTATACATGATCTCACAAAGGTGGACCAAAGATAGGTGCGTACCTCTATCATAAATAGTAGATACACCTTAATAAGTAGTAAACCTTAAAGTTAATGCTCTGCTATAGACTGACAGACGCGAAAAGAGCTGCAAAGAAGATATATAATAAGCAATTGACATGAGTTTATATATATATATATATATATATATATATATATACTTAAAGACATTCAAAGATGTTTCGGTGTGCATCAATCGTTAAAAGTACACTTTAATGCTTTGTTATAAACTGACAGACGCGAAAAGAGCTGCAAAGAAGCTGTATTATAATAAGCAATTGACATGAGTTTATATATATGTA